TGTTGCCACACATGGTTCATTTTCTGCCAACTTTACTCCTCTATATCTCGATAAGTACTGATCTCAAAAATTGGGGGGGAGAGGGGGGGCTTAAAACAATCAGAAAATTAATCTTAACATTCTGATAAGGAAAAATATTTTTTTTTTTTTTCAAATATTTTTCAACACCAGGAGACACTTCAGGATTTGGGGTTGCGATAGTCAAAGGGTTAAATGGAACTCAAAAAATGGTATGAAGTTCATCGAAGACAAATTTCAGTTACTCCACTATGGAAAACTTGAGGAAATAAAAACTGGATTGGAGTATAAAACAAATTCTAACCACACAATAGAGTGAAAAACTAATGTGAAGAACCTGGGAGTGATAATGTCAGAGAATCTTTCTTGCAAAGATTACAACATTGTGTCTACAACATACAGGAAAATGATAGGATGGATAATGAGAATCTTCAAAACTAGGGATGTAAAGCCAGTGATGAGTCTCTTCAAATCGCTTGTTCTCTCTAGGCTGGAGTATTGCTGTACACTAGTGGCCCCTTTCAGGGCAGACAAAATTGCAGACCTTGAGAATTTACAGAGAACTTGCACTGCACATATATGTACAATAAAGCACCTTAATTACTGGGAATTACCTGGAGTACCTGGAGAGAGTTCCGGAGGTCAACGCCCCCGCGGCCCGGTCTGTGACCAGGCCTCCTGGTGGATCAGAACCTGATCAACCAGGCTGTTACTGTTGGCTGCACGTAAACCAACGTACGAGCCACAGCACGGCTGGTCAAGAACCGACTTTAGGTGCTTGTCCAGTGCCAGCTTGAAGACTGCCAGGGGTCTGTTGGTAATCCCCCTTATGTATGCTGGGAGGCAGTTGAACAGTCTTGGGCCCCTGACACTTATTGTATGGTCTCTTAACATGCTAGTGACACCCCTGCTTTTCATTGGGGGGATGTTGCATCGTCTGCCAAGTCTTTTGCTTTCGTAGTGAGTGATTTTCATGTGCAAGTTTGGTACTAGTCCCTCTAGGATTTTCCAGGTGTATATAATCATGTATCTCTCCCTCCTGCATTCCAGGGAATACAGGCTCAGGAACCTCAAGCGCTCCCAGTAATTGAGGTGTTTTATCTCCGTTATGCGCACCGTGAAGGTTCTCTGTACATTTTCTAGGTCAGCAATTTCACCTGCCTTGAAAGGTGCTGTTAGTGTGCAGCAATATTCCAGCCTAGATAGAACAAGTGACCTGAAGAGTGTCATCATGGGCTTGGCATCCCTAGTTTTGAAGGTTCTCATTATCCATCCTGTCATTTTTCTAGCAGATGCGATTGATACAATGTTATGGTCCTTGAAGGTGAGATCATCCGACATGATCACTCCCAGGTCTTTGACGTTAGTGTTTCGCTCTATTTTGTGGCCAGAATTTGTTTTGTACTCTGATGACGATTTAAATTCCTCGTGTTTGCTATATCTGAGTAATTGAAATTTCTCATCGTTAAACTTCATATTGTTTTCTGCAGCCCACTGAAAGATTTGGTTGATGTCCACCTGGAGCCTTGCAGTGTCTGCAATGGAAGACACTGTCATGCAGATTCGGGTGTCATCTGCAAAGGAAGACATGGTGCTGTGGCTGACATCCTTGTCTGTGTCAGATATGAGGATGAGGAACAAGATGGGAGCAAGTACTGTGCCTTGTGGAAGAGTGCTTTTCACCGTAGCTGCCTCGGACTTTACTCTGTTGACTACTACTCTCTGTGTTCTGTTAGTGAGGAAATTATAGATCCATCGACCGACTTTTCCCGTTATTCCTTTAGCACGCATTTTGTGCGCTGTTACGCCATGGTCACACTTGTCGAAGGCTTTTGCAAAGTCTGTATATATTACATCTGCATTCTTTTTGTCTTCTAGTGCATCTAGGACCTTGTCGTAGTGATCCAATAGTTGAGACAGACAGGAGCGACCTGTTCTAAACCCATGTTGCCCTGGGTTGTGTAATTGATGGGTTTCTAGATGGGTGGTGATCTTGCTTCTTAGGACCCTTTCAAAGATTTTTATGATATGGGATGTTAGTGCTATTGGTCTGTAGTTCTTTGCTGTTGCTTTACTGCCCCCTTTGTGGAGTGGGGCTATGTCTGTTGTTTTTAGTAACTGTGGGACGACCACCGTGTCCATGCTTCCTTTCCATAGGATGGTAAAAGCTCGTGATAGGGGCTTCTTGCAGTTCTTGATGAACACGGAGTTCCAGGAGTCTGGCCCTGGGGCAGAGTGCATGGGCATGTCATTTATCGCCTGTTCGAAGTCATTTGGCGTCAGGATAACATCAGATAGGCTTGTGTTAACCAAATTCTGTGGCTCTCTCATAAAAAATTCATTTTGATCTTCGACTCTCAGTCTGGTTAGTGGCTTGCTAAAAACTGAGTCATATTGGGACTTGAGTAGCTCACTCATTTCCTTGCTGTCATCTGTGTAGGAGCCATCTTGTTTAAGTAGGGGCCCAATACTGGACGTTGTTCTCGACTTTGATTTGGCATAGGAGAAGAAATACTTTGGGTTTCTTTCGATTTCATTTATGGCTTTTAGTTCTTCCCTCGATTCCTGACTCCTATAAGATTCCTTTAGCTTAAGTTCGATGCTTGCTATTTCTCTGACCAGTGTCTCCCTACGCCTTTCAGATATATTGACCTCTATTAGCCGCTCTGTTATTCTTTTCCGTCGCCTGTAAAGGGAGCGCCTGTCCCTTTCTATTTTACATCTACTCCTCCATTTTCTTAGAGGAATAAGCCTTGTGCATACATCGAGCACCACTGAGTTAATCTGTTCTAGGCATAAGTTGGGGTCTGTGTTGCTTAGCATATCTTCCCAGCTTATATCGGTTAGGATTTGGTTTACTTGGTCCCACTTTGTTTTTGTTATTGAAATTGAATTTGGTGAATGCTCCCTCATGACTAATCTCATTATGTCGGTCTGGGGCTCCGCGCATACATGTCTGAACCTCAATTATGTTGTGATCTGAGTATATTGTTTTTGATATGGTGACATTTCGTATCAGATCATCATTGTTAGTGAAGATGAGGTCTAGTGTATTCTCCAGTCTAGTAGGCTCTATTATTTGCTGGTTTAAATTGAATTTTGTGCAGAGATTTAAAAGCTCGTGTGAGTGTGAGTTTTCATCAGAGCTGCCTCCTGGTGTTATTACTGCAACAATATTATTTGCTATATTCCTCCATTTTAGGTGCCTTAAGTTGAAATCCCCCAGGAGCAAGATGTTGGGTGCAGGAGCTGGCAGATTTTCCAGACAGTGGTCAATTTTTAACAGCTGTTCCTGGAATTGCTGGGATGTTGCATCTGGAGGCTTGTAGACTACCACAATGACTAGGTTTTGGTTCTCGATCTTTACTGCTAAAACTTCCACTACATTATTTGAGGCATTCAGCAATTCTGTGCACACAAGTGACTGCAATGTACAGGTTGAAGTCCCTTTACCTGTACTCCTTGGAACGCAGGTGAAAAAGATACATGATAATATACACTTGGAAAATCTGCACACTCACTCCCTACTTTAGCAAAAGACTCAGCAGGCAGTGAAACATCCCCCCAATGAAAAGCAGGGGTACTGTGAGTATGCTGAGAGACAAATTGTTCAACTGCCTCCCAGCATACATAACGGAGATTACCAGTAGACCCCTGGTTGTCTTCAAAAGGAAGCTGGACAGGCACCTAAAGGCAGTACCTGACCAGCTGGGCTGTGATTCGTATGTCAGCTTGCGTGTGGCCAGCATTATCAGCCTGGTTGATCAGGCCCTGGTCCACTGCAAAGCTGGTCATGGACTTGGCTACAGGAGCGTTGACCTCTGAAACACCCTTAGAGAATAGGAGAAAGAAGTTTATGACAACGTTTTGGCCCAACCTGGACTTGTCAGTGGTCCAAGTCAGACTGAAATGTCATCATAAGCTTCTTTCTCCTATATTTGGGTTATTTGTGTATTGTAACATTTTAAAGAGATTTAGGTACTACACACTTGTCATGAATGAATGCTTCTTTGTAGCTACATGAGCAAAGCTTCTGGTGTCCCATCTTCACTCTTTAATCTATCATGTACTTTTCAAAATACATAGTGGTAATAGCACTTACTACATCTTGTAATCCATTCCATTGTTCCACCACTGAGTTTATGAAAAACTTTTTGTTATTCTTTTGGCACATTGCTTTCTTAAGTTTACAACAATGGCCTCATGTTTTCCATGTTGATGTTGCTAAAAAAATTTTCTTGTTAAGTGACTGTGGAGGTTCAGTTTAGAATGTATGTTGTACTGTACCTAGCATTTACTCATTTCCCATTTTTAATGCAGTGGAACACTGAAAGTTTGTATTTTGATCCCATGGATAATTCATTCTAGTATTCAGAAAACTAGGGTAATGTGCTCATGACTCATGAAATTGTAATGACACAATGGCAAAGAAACCATACCACGGGTAGGGATAGAACCCACGATCAGAGAGTCATAAAACTCCAGACCGAGTTGGATGAATCTTGTTGTAGCCAGCTGGCCCAGTGGCTAGCGCATTGGTCTGGAGTTTTATGGCTCTCTGATTGCGGGTTCTATCCCCACCCGTGGTATGTGTTTTTTTTTTTTATTATTTTTTATGGTAATGTAGCTTGGCCAAATTCTGATACTCCAGTTTGGCACCTGGGTTGGCCACTGGGTCCTGCCTGTTGCTTGGGTTGACTTTAACAGACTATGAGAGTAGACACAGTAGAGGGACATGCAGTTTTTTTTTTTTTTATCCTACTTACACCAACTCCACTTTAACTCATTATATTTATATATTATCTTCTCAATTTTTAGCCTAATCTATTGTTTTATGAGGATCTTAAACCAATGCCTGTAGTTCCATGTTGTAAGAATTAATGTATGTGTGAAAAACAAGGAAAGGACTTGAAATACTGCTTTGTAGTTTATTATTAATTATGCATCATGATTGAATTACTATGCATTTCCTGCTTCCTCAGGGACCTTAGTTTCAAGAAAGGGGATGTAATAATACTGCGCAAGAAGATAGACTCCAACTGGTACCAGGGAGAACTTAATAACCAGACAGGCTTCTTCCCGGCCTCTTATGTTCAGGTAAGTATTAACACTTTCAGTGGCTATCACATAAAACTATGTCACTGAGGCCAGGGTCCCTTCATCTAGTGCTGCTTTATAAGCTCATCTCACTCAGATTAGCTGTGAGTGGTAAATTTTGGCCTAGATGTGAGAGAATACGTTTGTGCTATGAGTGTGGACTGTATAAAAAAAATAAACTTGTCCCATGCAGTGGATGATAGGAAAAATAAAATGACTTTGTATGGTTTACAATAACAACTATTCTCAGATGGTTTTTAGGGTTTTTATTGGCTGTTTCTTGGTATCATTTGATAGAAATAGAGATGATTTTGATTGGTTTCAGGACCAGAAATACAGTACGGCCCCGCTTTATGGCGTTTTGCTTTACGGCGTTCCGTTAATATGGTCATTTCAAATTATGACCAAAACTCCCTATACGGCTCCCCACCTGACTTTCTAATACGGTCACCGTGCCCCATCCGGTTTGTTTACATTATCTGTGAGATCCTTAAGCACTAAGTCTCTCCATTATGTCTAGAAACTCCAAAATTTCAAGTGTTTTTAAGTTATTTCATATTTTATATATAGTAGTACTCTGATAATTATACTTAGGTATACCTGTACCTAAATAAACTTACATACTGTGCTGGCATGCAGGGTCACATTAAAATCAATAAGTGTCTTATGTCCCGAGACACCATATTAGTAATAATAATAATCACCGTGTCTCATTAAATGTCATATATTACGTTAATATACACATTTTCATTAATCCATCTATGATATTTTTTTCAAAATTTTATTATAAACATGATACATAATATATAAAGATGATAAATACACCCCACAGTAAATTAATAAACATAAATATGAGATGTGGTAGCCAGACAACTTGTACGAGTGACGACAAGAATAATGTTTTCTCTAGGCCAACATAAAAGAAAATGTGTTACTGAGGGTAACTGTAGAAAATTATTCCCTTCATATGTAAGAATGTTTATTCAGGTATACACAAATACAGTTACATAGATTATCATACATAGCAGCATATGTGTAAAGTACCTAGGATAACCCAAAAAAGTCAGACAGAGTGACTTATTTCCAATAAACTTACATTTAACACTGACAAAACCTACTATATTATGTTTGGTAGCAGAGCAGGTGTTGCGCAACTTAACATTAAGATCGTCAACACTCTAATTGCCAGATATAATGAGGGCAAATTCCTAGGCCTATACCTTGACAACAACCTGAATTTCAGCACCCATATCCAACACATAATAGATAGTAGATTGGCAGACAGCAACCGCCCAGGAAGGTACTACCGTCCTGCCAAGTGAATGTAAAACGAAAGCCTGTAATTGTTTTACATGATGGTAAGATTGCTGGTGTCCATTTTTCTGTCTCATAAATATGCAAGGTTTCAGGTACATCTTGCTACTTCTACTTACACTTAGGTCACACTACACATACATGTACAAGCATATATATACACACCCCTCTGGGTTTTCTTCTATTTTCTTTCTTGTTCTTATTCTTGTTTATTTCCTCTTATCTCCATGGGGAAGTGGAATAGAATTCTTCCTCCATAAGCCATGCGTGTTGTAAGAGGAGACTAAAATGCCGGGAGCAAGGGGCTAGTAACCTCTTCTCCTGTATATATTACTAAATGTAAAAGGAGAAACTTTGGTTTTTCCTTTTGGGCCACCCTGCCTTGGTCGGATACAGCCGGTGTGTTAAAAGAAAGAAATATCCAACACAACAAAAAAAGTATCCAAAGCAGTTGGGATCCTCTCCAAGATACGATGGAAAACTTACGGAATTATGCTCTCACGAAGTTAGCGGTCTCAGTGATGTTTACGCATCGGCGATTTTGCCTACTTTGAGCCCTATTTTCGGCCAATTCCAGTGTACTAGTCAACAAAAATCATAACTATTTTGCTAGAACTCCATTTTTTTCTATTGAACGAGTACAAAAAATCACCCATTTACCGATTTCAACTATCCAATACAGTGGTCAGAATTTAGCAATTTTGCCAATTTCGCACAAATTTCAAAAGATGCGAGTTTCCAAATAGGGTCCAGAATAAACAAGAAAGACATTCATGGCACTAAAATAACATTTCCTCTGTTCATTAGTCATGTCCCTATGCCCCTCTTACATTCTTTTGCTTTCCACTTTAAATTTTTATTCTCACAAAAAAAATAGAAAATTTACTGTTATGCAGACTACTGCATTAGTGTAGAAATGGTATAAATAATATCGGCACACTTGTGAAAGAATATTAGACTCACCAGTTGACGTGTATTGGACGCTTAGCATGATTTGTTTACTTTTGAACTTTGGTAAAAATCGAACATTTCTGCTACTTTGAGCTCAATTTTAAGGTACTTTTTATTGTAAAACCAGTCAAAATCATCTCAATTTCTGTAATATGTCTTCCATTCTATAAAATGAGACCAGGAAAACTAGAATGCAACAATAAATACTATACGAAAATACAGTGCAAAGTCGCTGTTTTAATCCAAAAACACGGTCAGAGCTTTTTTTTTTTTCTCATTACGCACTGTGTGCTGCAGGATTTTTTTTATACTGCACACACACAATGTTCGAATTTTTACCAAAGTTCAAAAGTAAACAAATCATGCCAAGCGTCCAATACACGTCAACTGGTGAGTCTAATATTCTTTCACAAGTGCGCTGATATTATTTATACCATTTCTACACTAATGCAGTACATAGTCTTCTATTTTTTGTAAGAATAAAAATTCAAAGTGGAAAGCCAAAGAAATATAAGAGGGACCTGGGGATGTGACTAACGAGCAGAGAACTTGTTATTTTAGTGCTAGGAATGTCTTTCTTGTTTATTCTGGACCCTATTCGGAAATTGGCATCTTTTGAAATTCGTGTGAAATTGGCAAAATTGCTAAATTCTGACTACTTTATTGGATAGTTGAAATCGGTAAATGGGTGGTTTCTTGTACTCATTTGATAGAAAAAAGGGAGTTCTAGCGAAATAGTTATGGTTTTTGTCAACTAGTATAATTGGAATTGGCCAAAAATAGGGCTCAAAGTGGGCAAAATTGCCAATGCGTAAACATAGTCGAGACCGCTAACTTCGCGAGAGCATAATTCCGTAAGTTTTCCATCAAATTTCAAACTTTTGGTGTCATTAAGATCGGAAAAAGATTCTCTATCTTTTCATAAGAAAAAATAATAATTTTTTTTTTTTAAATTTTGGCAACCCAGAGAACAAATTTCTGAGAGGGCCTGGCGACCCCCAAAGGGTTAAATACCATTTCATTTCATAAAGATCTGTAAGAATGAATTCAAATTAAGTTGTAATAAATAACTGTCAATGAATAAATGGAAAGCTAACCCAGGCCTCTAATAGGAAGGATTCAGAGGTAATACTGTATTACATTCCGTCAGGGGCACCAACTAGTGTTTGAGGGAATTTTACCCCTTCAAGATCCTTGCCATAGTACTATGGCTTTGAGCTCTGGGTCAGTGATGAGCTCAGCTCACTCATATGAGCTGTGAGTGGTAAATTTTGTCCTAGATATGAGAGAATGGATCTGTGCAGTAAGTGTGCACCATATAAAAGAATCCTGCCCCATGCAGTGCATAATGGGAAAAATGCAACTATTTTTGATTTCAAATAGCAACTTTGCATTGTAATTTTATATGGTTTTTATGGTTGTATTCTCAGTTCCTTGGCTTTCTTTAATAGAGTGGAAGATATAGAAATAGAGAAGATTCTGATTGGTTTCAGGCTTAAATTTAGCTCATATTAGCAGAATTGTTCGATTTTTGCCGATATTCCTGCATACGCAAATTGTCACTTGTCCAATACACATCCAACCAGTTGGTCTAATACGTTTTCAGGAATTCACTGGCATTATTTATGCAATTATTGCAATAACACAATAGTCTGCCTAACAGTAAACCTATTTTTTTTGTGTGAATAAAAATTTATAATGGAAAGCAAGCATAATGTAGGAGAGGCCTGGGGATGTAACTAATGACCAGAGGAAATGTTTTTTTAGTGCCAGGAATGTCTACATTGTTTATTCTGAACCCTATTTATAAATTAGCAATTTTTTAATTTTGTGAAATTGGCCAAATTATCCATTTCTGATCACTTTATTGGATAGTTGAAATAGGTATATGGGCAGTTTCTTGTACTCAGTCGATAGAATGGAAGGAATGCTAGTGAAGTAGCTGTAAGTTTGGTCGACTGGAATGGTGGAATTGGCCTAAAGTAGAACTCAAATTGGGTGAAATCACCAATGCGTAAATATCGCCGAGACCACTAACTTTGCAAGGGCGTAATTCCATGAGTTTTCCATCAAATTTTGCACTTTTGGTTTCATTACTTTCAGAAAAAGATTATCCTGAGAGCAATTCTCAGATCAGGGGTCCAGACCCTGAAAGGGTTAAAAGGGGTCAAAATATATTCTAGCCAGAACTCGGGGAAAAAATTGAAAATGTGACAGTTGATTAACAAAAACGTAGTACCACAGTAGGCCTACTTCGCAGATCTTTCTCACACCCAACCAGTATATGACACAAGACTAGAGGAGTACTGCACTAGGCCTGCTATCCTATGTTAGGCAGATCTTACACAAATCCAGTCTTTATCACTGGTATATTTGTCCAGCCTATTTTTAAAGCTACCTAAAGTTTTAGGTTCAGTGATCAAAGGAAGGACAGGACAGGGTAGGCATGGCAGGGCAGGGTAGGGCAGGACATGGTGAGACAGGGCTTGCATCCTTCCTTGCCTTCCTCCCTATCTAGGTATCTCCATCCTTTCTTCCATATATCTTCCTTTCTGACTCCCTCCCACCCTGACTCCTTCCTTCCTCTGTTTCCCTCCCTCCTTTTGATTATTGAAACTAATTTTAAAAATAGGTTGAACAAATATGTATATGAATGAGAAAAGTTATATTTGAGTAAGACTTGCCATGCTCCTCTATTATGCATTATAACAAAGTGAGAGGCCAACAGGATCTCCTGGATACTGTATTATCAAATATATATGTATATTTAAGGTGGACTATGGTTACTGAGTGCAGCTTGTACCTTGATGCACAAAAAGAAGCAGGAATCTAGTGTGTGATAGGCCCTCACTGTGTCAGAATTCTAAAGAAAAGTTGCAAAGGTTAGTGGACGTGTTTGGGAGGGTGTGTAAAGGTAGAAAGTTGAAAGTGAGCATAGATAAGAGTAAGGTGATGAGGGTATCAAATGATTTAGATAAAGAAAAATTGGATATCACATTGGAGAGAACGAGTATGGAAGAAGTGAATGTTTTCAGATATATGGGAGTTCATGTGTCAGTGGATGGGTTTATGAAGGATGGGGTTAACCATAGAACTGATGAGGGGAAAAAAAGGTAAGTGGTGCGTTGAGGTATATGTGGAGACAAAAAATGTTATCAATGGAGGCAAAGAAGGGAATGTATGAAAGTATAGTGGTACCAACACTCTTATATGGGTGTGAAGCTTGGGTTGTAAATGCTGCAGTGAGGAGGTGGTTGGAGGCAGTGGAGGTGTCCTGTCTAAGGGCAATGTATGGTGTAAATATTATGCAGAGAATTCGAAGTGTGGAAATTAGAAAGCGTGGAGTTAAAAGTAGTCAGAGGGCTGACATGGAGAGCATATAAATCTGTAGGGGAAGGAAGGTGAGGTAGGGGTCGTCCTTGAAAAGGTTGGAGGGAGGGGGTAAAGGAGGTTTTGTGGCGAGGGGGCTTGGACTTTCAGCAAGCGTGCGTGAACGTGTTAGATAGGAGTGACTGGAGACGAATGGTTTTTGGGGCCCTGATATTGTATACTTATTATTTCAGGTTACTTTTTATATTGTATCTTTATATATGCTTCTAAATTGTTGTATCTAGGTGCCTCTGCAAAAACAGTGATTATGTATGAGTGAGGTGAAAGTGTTGAATGATGACGAAAGTATTTTCGTTTTGGGGATTTTCTTTCTTTTTGGGTCACCCTGCCTAGGTCGGAGATGGCCGACTTGTTGAAAGGAAAAAAAAAATATCATCTATGAATAGGTCATCCCCAGACATTTTACTTCAAAATTTGGTCTTAAAATCTCATCCTATACACAGGTATATACGGCATTGAATATTAATTACGAAACATTTAAATTCTTAAAATTTTCAGGTTATTAACCCATTGCCAAGCCACATCCCTCAGTGTAAAGCTCTCTATGACTTTAAGATGACAAATGATGAAGAGCGAGATTGCCTGACATTTAGTAAGGTAAGACAAACATCACAAATATACTGTACTAGACAAATTTGCTTTTATATAGTAACTTGCTAGTTCAATTATTATAGTATTACATGGGAGGCCCTTGCTAAAACACTAGCACTAGTATATGCCAGTATGGGTTTATTAATAAAATAAAAGTTGAGTCAGTAATTATTGCAGAAATTTTAGAAGAGAGCTTTGAAAGTACACTTTGTTGTCTCACATTGACTGTGCCAGCACAGTCTTCATGTCTATCAGTTACTTCATAGACTAAATAAATAACAAAAAGGCACAATACCGTGCGGGTTATTTGTGTATACTTCATAGACTGACTGCAACTGTTACAACAGTAAACTTTGTGGTTTGTCATTGATAATTACAACACTGGATTCACCATCAATCTGACTTGTTCACTAACTAGCCAGAAAATGATTAATAAAAGTCACAATAACATGGCTTCAGTAATTCACAATTAATTCACAAATTTGAGGTAAATCTTGGTCTTAAATATTTAGACTCATGTTGTAAAAAAATTGTTTTGTTAAAATATTTTTATGGAGAGTAATCATATAATTTCATGTTGTATTCTGCCATTTTAATTTGTTTATTGTAATAAATTTTGTACTGGTATGTGTGTTAGTGTAACAGATAATAATACTAATAATAACATTGGCTCTAGGGAAAGGGTCCTGGTGAACTTTAAAGTTTAACCCCTTTTGTACTATAAAACTGAGTTTACATAGCATTATCTTCACACACTTCCTCCCCATTATAGTAGGACCACATGTACTATAATAAATTCATGTGTTTGTAGGGTGAAATCATCACTGTGTTGCGGCGGGTTGATGAGAATTGGGCTGAAGGTAAGCTCAGCTCTCGAATCGGAATTTTTCCCCTCTCCTTTGTTGATCTTAACAGCGCTGCTAAAGCACTTATGAAGCTCTCCCTCAAGTAAGTATTTATCAACATACCTTTCATTCTTATATATTTTTGTGATGAAAAATCTCATTTTATTTAAACGATAAATTACTGTTTTCTATTAGACATAGTCTCATCTGGGCTTAATTAAGAGTTACCTGTTAATTTATTAATCAAATTCTCTACTGTGTTGTTTCTGAAGAATATTTATGAATATTTCAAAAGATTTGTTTCAAATTTTAGAGTTACTGTATTTGATTAATAAATGGTGCATTTTTTTTTTTTTTTTGAGGTACTTAGCCTCTTACTTACCCTGGTTGCTGTTTGAGAAATTTATTGCTCAAGATATGGAGGGCTTCAGCTTCTGGATGAAATTTTGAGTCACTTGGAAGAGAGATCAACCTGGAATAGGTTGTGCCTCATTTACACCAATACTTACCACTAGGGCTGTAACCCCTTTAACCCTTCGAAGGTCTGTCCAGTAGTTCTACGGCTTGTCCACAGGGTCCAGTATTTTAAAAAAAAATTTTTTTGTTATTTTTTCTTATGAAATGGTAGAGAATCTTTTTCTGAAGGTAATAAAACAATGTCCAAAATTTGATGGAAAACTGATGAAATTACACTCGCTAATTTTAGTGCATCAGCAATATTTATGCATTGGCAAGTTTTCCCACCTTGACTCCTATTTTAAGCCAATTACATTATTCCAGTTGACCAAATTCTTAGCTATTTCACTAGTATAACTTCTGCTTTATCGACTGAGCACAAGAAACTGTCCAATCAACAATTTCAGCTATTTAATAAAGTGATCAGAAATTGGTAATTTGGCCAATTTCACATAAACTTCAAAATGTTCCAGTTTCAAAACAGGGTCCAGAATAAACAATGGAGGCATTCCTAGCACTAAAATGACATTTCGTCTGTTTATTAGTTATGTTTGCAGGCTTTACAGATGAATTACATTTTGTTGTTATTCACATGAAAATTTTTTATTCACACTAAAAAATCGAAGATTTACTTTTATGGAATATTGTAATAATTGTACATATAATATCAGCACATTCGGGAATGTATGTTAGACCCACCAGCTGATGTGTATTGGATGTGTAACATCATTTGTTTGCTCTCGAACATCAGCAAAAATCGGACATTTCTGCTACTTTGAGCTCAATTTCAAGCTATTTTCAGTAATAAAACCAATCAGAATTGTTTCTGTTTCTGTAATATATCTTCCATCCTATAAAATGAGACCAAGAAACTGCAAGTAACTATATGAAAGTGCACGGCAAAGTCGCTGTTTTAATCCAAAAACACGGTCTCAGTTTTTTCTTTTCATTATGCACTGCGTGCTGCAGGATTTGTTTTATGTGGTGCACACTTACCATATAGATGTATTCTCTCATATCTAGGCCCAGATTTACTTACTGTTCACAGCTTATCTGCGTGAGCTGAGCTCATGATGTAGTACTATGGGTTGGACCCTGGCTTCAAAGCCATTGAATTATGGGACAGACCCTCAAAGGGTTAACTGTCAAAGTGTTGATCTCTGCATTTCCACTAGTGCTCCTGATTTTTTTTTTTTTTTGTGAAAAAAAAAAAAAGGTTAATTTTTTGTGTAATAAGACCAAAAGCAAAACTTTCGGGCCAATACTTACTGAGATATAAGGCAGCAAAGTTGGCAATGGATGCTCACATGACAGCAATGTGGAGTCCTGCCGATTGCAGAAATGTTGCTGATATAACTTTTTTCCTTGCTTTTTTTTATCTTAAATAGTTTTTGTCTTGAGAATTACAAATTATAGTAGAGCTTGTGATTTCATAGCCAATCATTCTTCTAACACAAATATTAAGTAAGAAATTAGTAATCAGACAGTCACAAACATGGACAGGTGAACATGTTCACCTGCCTTGGTCACATTTTATTGTTGAGAAATGTGTACAAATTATTTAAAGGTCCCATCAATGTTTTAAGAAGTGCTGGAGCATATGAAACTCCTTGAGGCACAGTGTCAGACAGCGTCACTCAATATTGCTGATAGTGAAGTTACTCATCATTGCTGATGGTGCACTGCACCATCAGCACTGCCCCCAGTGAACCTTGGCATATGTTTTCTATTTGCTCTCACTGTTCCATGAACAGGGAATAGATACATTTCGGCCACAAAAAAAAAGTGTTATTCCAACACAGTTACATTTGCTTGGTATATATTGCTTGAACGACAGGTGTCCCTTGAACAGAATCAAGGACTAAGTAAGTTTGTTTATTTAGACACTGGTGCCTTTTTTCTGTCTCATAAACGTGCAAGATTTCAGGTACATCTTGCTACTTCTGCTTACACTTAGGTCACACTACACATGCATATACACATTTATGTATACACACTCATCTGAGTTTTCTTTGATTTTATCTTAATAGTTCTTGTTCTTATTATTTTTCCTTTCATATCCATGGGGAAGTGGAATAAGAATCTTTCCTCTGTAAGCCATGCATGTTGTGAAAGTCAGTTAAAATGCAGGGAACAATGGGCTAGTAACCCCTTTTCCTGTATAGCCTACTAAAAAGAAAAAGAAAACCGCCAAAGTGGGATGTTTGAATGTGCATGGATGTTGTGCGAATCATAAGGAAGAGATGATTGTGGATGCTATGAATGAAAAGTTGGGTGTCCTGGCTCTAAGTGAAACAAAGCTGAAGGGGGTAGGAGAGTTTCAGTGGGGAGAAATAAATGGGATTAGGTCAGGGGTTTCTAATAGTTAGAGCTAAGGAAGAAGTAGCAATGATGTTGAAGGATAATTATGGCAGAAAAGAAGGAATATAAATTCAAGGATTATGTGAAATACAATAAGGGTTGGATGTGAAAGTGGGTTATAGTAACTGTTTATGCACATAGAGAAGAGGGAAGTGTAGATGAGAGAGAGAGGGATTTTGGGAAATGTTGAGTGAGAGAGTACTTGTGGTTGGGGATCTCAATGCTGAAGTGTGTAAAAATGTTGTAGAAGGAGTAGTAGGTAAATTAATCACGAAAACTGAGGTTCCACTGTATATTCCTGATTACCACAAGGTTGTGTTTAATTCATACAGACCTGAGTGCATTCCTGGAATTTCCAGCATTAGCAGCATTGGAGAAGTTGGTTAGAAAAGCAGTGTTCAGAGTTATACATTATACATTTACCTTAACCCATTGAGGGTCCATCCTGTAGTTCTACAGCTTTGAAGCCTGGGTCCAAGCCGTAATTCTACACCATGAGCTCAGTTCACTCAGATAAGCTGTAAGTGGTAAATTTGGGCCTAGATATGAGAGATTACATCTATGTGGTAAATGTACACCATGTAAAACAAATCCTGCAGCCCGTAGTGCATAATGAGAAAAAAAAAAAAGACTGTGTTTTTGGATTAAAACTGCAATATTTGTGGTTTCTTTGTCTCATTTGAAAGATTGGAAAATATATTACAGAAATAGAGATGATTTTGATTAGTTTTAGTACTGAAAATGGCTTGAAACTGAGCTCAAAGTAGCAGAAATGTTCGATTTTTGCCCATGTTCAGGAGTAAACACATGACGTCATGCATCCAATACACATTAGCTGGTGGGTCTACTGTGTATTCACAAATGTGCTGATATTATTTATACAATTATTTCAATATTGCATTACAGTAAATCTTTTATTTTTTGGTATGAATAAGAATTCATTATGTGAATCAAAAATCAAAATGGAATTCATTTATAAAGCCTGAAAATGTTACTAATAAACAGAGAAAATGTTATTTTAGTGCCAGGAATGCCTGCTTTGTTTATTTTGGACCCTATTTTGAAATTGGAATATTTTGAACTTTGTGTGAAATTGGCCAAATTACCAATTTCTGATCACTTTATTGGGTAGTTGAAATAGTTGATTGGGAGATTTCTCATGCTCAATTGATAAAATTGATGTAATACGAGCAAAGTAGTAGTTAAGAATTTGGTTGACCGGAATAATGTCATTGGCCTAAAATAGGAGTCAAATTGGGCAAAATCGCCACTGCTTAAATATCGCTCACACAGCAAAATTCACGAGAGCATAATTTCATCAGTTTTCCATCAAATTTCATAATTTTTGTTTTGTTACCGTCAGAAAAAGATTCCCTACCATTTCATAAGAAGAAATTACAAAAAACTGTTTTTGAAAATTCTTGGGCCCTGTAGACAAGTTTCAGATCAGGGGTCTTGACCTTGAAAGGGTTAAAATATTCTCATCCTTAGCTTATAATGAGTGGTGAATATTGTAGAAAGTCTGAATAAATAAATAATGGGTATAATTAAAACAAACCACTGTACAGTGGACTCGCAGTTTTCGTGTTTAATTCGTTCCAGAGAGATGAGCAAAAACGGAAATCGGCAATAAATGAAGCCATTTTCCCCATAAGAAATAATGTAAATCCAATTAATCCGTTCCAGACACCCAGAAGTATTAACAAAAAAATTTTTTTGTACTTTAAAGATAGATTTACATGCACAAAAGAATGAACATTCAACATGACACTTACCTTTATTGATGGCTGTTGTTGATGGATGGAAGACAGGGAGGAGAGGAGAGGGAAGAGAGGTCATTGTTTGGAAGGGGAATTCCCCTCCATAAGGACTGTAGGTACCAAGTCCTTATCTGGGGTCATTTCCCTTCTTTGTTTTTTAATGCCACTAGGACCAGCTTGAGAGTCGCTGGACCCCTGTCGTAGAAAATATCTGTCCAGATAGGTCTGCTTCTGGCGTCTCTTTAAGATTTGCCTAAAATGGGACATGGTATTGTCATTCTAAAAGTCACCAGCACGGATTGCAACAGCTTTCTCAGGGTGATGGTCCTCCACAAATGAATGCACTTTAGTCCACATTGCACAAATCTTAATCTCTGAAGAAGACACCTTCTTCCATCTCTCTTCCTTCTCCTCTGAAGCAGTTTCCTCAGCTGTGGTCTGTTGCTGTTGCAGATGAAGCTCTTGCAGCTCATCAGTGGTTAGCTCTTGATTGTGGTCCTCCACCAACTCTTCCACATCCTGGCCA